CACCAACATTAAACCTCCAGAAACAATAAAAAGTTTGATCAGATGCTTGGATGTGATGGAAAGGTCGTTGGGTCACAACAATCATTACATTTCTTCCATTGTGGACACAAATAAACACAATCAACTAAAACTCTAAACACTCTTTAGTTTGAAGACTTGTTTGTCATAAGCAGGCTGGAAATTAATAGAAAGGGAAATAATGCAATAAACAAACATGTAAACTGACCTCCAGACCAGACAAACTGAGGTTCACTCTCATCAGTGTAATGCACTGGGTCTCCTCTTCCAGCTCTACATGCATATCCTGCTGTCTGTGTCTGTCCATCAACAATGTAGGAATCTTCTTCAGTCCCGTTGCTGCTACCAGGCAGCAGCTCATAACTGTAGGAGTTGTCTGATAGATCAGGAACAGCCTTATACCAGTAGAACCTCCATCCTGCAGACGGATGTTCAACCTGACAGCTCAGAGTTACTGAGGCTCCAGGACTCAGCCATGATGGAGACACAGTGAGGACAGCTTTGGCTTCTGTTGGAAAGACATTTTCCAAGAATGAACACGTTACTATGTGTTGTTGGTGAATTACATACAACATTTGTACCCTTTATTTTCAGTAATTTTTTTTTATCTATATATGTCTCTTATCCCCAAATACTGTATGTGTAAAAAGTGAAGCTGTGAAACAAACTTCGCATTATTGTCCACAGTTTCAGGTAAATAACGGTTAGACTGGTGAAAAACAGGAAGGTGATAAATTCAAAGAAAAAACAAGTGAATGGAAAATACAACAAACTTTTCATTCTGCCTTTTACACTTGTACTCTACAGTGTGGAACAAAGAAGCAAAACTCCTTTTGGAATCATTTTGTTTTGGAGTTTCCATTCATACTATCAGTCAGCAGCTCCTCCATAGATCTCACATGTGACAGTGATCTTCTCTCCTCTCTATCTGAGGACTGATTTCTGCATTTATAAACACACATAATTTTATTTAATTAACCTCACTCAGCTGTTTCAAATACATTTCAAGGCCAGATTATTTTCACTTTCATTCATGACTGTTCTAAATCTGTATGAGACAAATGTTTGTTACCCAACAAGTGAATTCACAAAGACCACATTCAGTTCTATGTTCACTTCTGAAGTGAAAACAAGTAAATGTCGTTGCATTAATTATTTTAGGAGCTCACAAAACATCAAGTGTGAGTACAGATCCCAACAACAACTGCAGACCGTTTCAGTT